TTCCATATTCTTTAAAGGATCTCAGGAATATTGCTGAGGAGCATGTGCCAGGATGTCTTTGTTTTACGTCTGTCAGTGTCTTGCACCTCTCCACTTAGTTATGTCAGATCTGCTCTGTTTTACTTTATTTATCAGAATTTCTCATGTCCCATCACCACATGATGCCATGCACTCAACCCCACTATTCTTGGATCCCTCCATGAAACAGGCTGTAGTAAATGTTCGGTCCACATTATTACTGAAGTACCTCGCTAATACAAGAAAAGGAATTCATCAAGTGCTGTCTCTAATTTTTTATTTCTGAAAGGAATAGCCCTGGGAAAAATTTAGAACAGGTAATTTCTCTCCATTGCTTTCCAACTTACTGGTACCCTTTCTTCCTCAACTCACTTTACTGCATCCCAGAGAACACATGCTTCTGTGTTTTTTTGTTTTTTGCGGTACGTGGGCCTCTCACTGTTGTGGCCTCTCCCGTTGTGGAGCACAGGCTCCGGACACGCAGGCTCAGCGGCCATGGCTCACGGGCCCAGCCGCTTGGCGTCATGTGGGATCCTCCCGGACCGGGGCACGAACCCACGTCCCCTACATCAGCAGGCAGACTCTCAACCACTGCGCCACCAGGGAAGTCCCTGCTTCTGTGTTTTGAGAAGAAAGCCCCAGCAGCAAAATTACCCAATTATTTCTTCTCTCTCCTTTACTTTCAAACCAAACTTGTATTTTCTTAGAGACCAAAATTAGAAATAAGAAAACATAATTAAATCACTGACCACAAAATGCGATTCATGCCCTTCCCCCATCTTCCTCAATGTGTTAGTTCCTATTCAGAAGTTTCCAGCCCTGATTTCACTTTAACAATCACCTAGGAAATTTTTAACGAATTTAATTGGTCCTGGATGGGGCTTGAACATTGTTTTAATGTTCCACAGGTGACTTCAATTATAGTCATCTTAGCCAACAACTCAATCCAAACACTAGTTAATGAATTTCAAAAAGTTAAGAAATAAATATTTTCACAGGTTAGAGAGGAAGAAATATACTAAACCCATAATGTTTATTTCCTTTGAATAAGTAAAAGGATACAAAAATAGTACAGTAATTCAAAAAGGTGAAACTCATGAAAAACATTTTAATCCCATTGTTACTTTCAAGTACATTCTGCAGGATCTGCTAGCTCTACCCCTTGAAAACATTCTTGGATAGATTCCATAGCTATGTGGCCATTTTTAGGTATCAGAAAGGTTCCATTTCTCTCTGGCCCCCGAATTAGAACTGACTTGTGGAAAAGAGTCCTAATAAGAGCAGTAGGTTAAATTCCTCACTACAGACGGGCCCCAACTTACGATGGTTCCACTTACCATTTTTTCAACTTTAGGACTGAGGTAGGAGATAGATGGGCCCCTGGGCTGGACAGCTGGTGTCTGTCAGGTGGAGTAAAACTGAAGCTTTGTTCTCACCCAGGCACTCCAAGACAAAGCTAGTGGCAGAAGCTGAGCTCTGCTCAAGTAAAGAGATAAGATGACCACTCCTGAGGTCAAGGAAACTTCCCTGTCTGCACATGCGCAGGAAGGCTCCCTGGGGGTCAAAAAGGGAGGGGCCGCCACCCCATAATAAGTGTGGATATGCACCCACAGGCCTCTGCGGTGGGATCCATCTTAGCAAAAATTTGCGCATGCATGTTGGGGAGGATCCTAGAACAGGTCACACGTGGGAAAAAAGAAACAAACAATTGGCCAAAGTAAACAAAGACCCGGAAGGACTGTCCTATGTAAGTGATTTAAATCACCTCTTTCCTGCGCTCCTCATTTAGGACGCCCACGCTCCTCTCCGCGTGTGTATCTCTGCCCAGTTTCTGACTTACTGAGCTCCTCCTCAGTAGAGAGGACGCCCACACGCTTTCTCTCCGGGTGTGTATCTCTGCCTAGCTTCAGTCCTAAACTGTTTCTCTGTGTGCTCTCCCATACATTGTGCTGTATCTTTAATAATAAACTTTGTACCTGTTTTTACAGTTTTTGCCTCCTTGAAACATTCTTGCTTTCAAATAGGGGAAAGAGCCAGGGCCACTTTGCTTCTAGCCTCCAGCCCCTGGTGGTCTAGTGACTAGGATTCCTGGTTTTCATCCAGGCTACCCAGGTTCAATTCCTGGGCAGGGAACTAAGATCTCTTTTCAGGACCACTCACTGCCGTCTCTCTGAGATCAGGATGGTGGGAAAGTGATACTAATTCAGTAGAAATTGTACTTCGACTTTTGAATTTTGATCTTTTCCCAGGCCAGCGATATGTTGTAGATACTCTGCTGCCACGTGGGCAGCGGCCGCCACAGCTCCCAGTCACGTGGTCACTGAGGTAAACGATACAACCATTTTGTACTCATACAACCATTTTGTTTTCACTTTGTGGAATTCAGAATTCAATAAAATCAACACTTTATTATAAAATAGGCTTCGTGTACAGGATGTTGCCCAACTGTAGGCTAAGATGTGTTCTGAGTGCCTTTAAGATAGGCTAAGTCATGATGTTTGATAGATAGGTGTATTAAACATATTTTTGACTTACAATACTTTCAACTTACAGTGGGTTTATCAGGACATAACCCTGTTGTAAGTCAAGGGAGATCTGGACTTTTCATCTTCTGTATTCTTGTGCACTGAGGAAGGGGTGGAAGGAATAGAGGAAGAGAGGCGAAAACCTGACACCACCAGGACCTACATAATTTTCTCTTGACTAGCCCTGGCTGACCTCCATGCCCTCCATTATGGCAAGTCTATAAAAGCTGGTTTAACAATGGGGTGCAATTGTGGGTCAATACTGACATCTGAAATTATCAATTCCCAGGCAGGCTGACGCTCCCTTGAGTTGATTTCTTACAGACCTACCCACCTTACTTTCTTCCTATAGTAGGCCCTCATAGCAGGCAGCTCTTTTGGGCAGAGTCCCATCAGGGCTGCTCGAGAATGTCACATTTCATGGCATCTCATGATCTCATGGCACATGGGAAATTCTCATTTTCAGATGTTATGAGTGCATCTAACCCTCTGAGGCTTCCTCTCTTTGCATTGTGATCCCTCAGCTTAAGCCAGGAACCCAGTTCTGTGTTCCTGTCCTGCCTTAACATGTTGGGGTACATACTCCATTCTGACGGGAGGGACTGAACTCAGCAAACATCCAAGTAAGGAGGAGATACCAGTCTCCTTTCTTAGAAATACCCTCATCACTAGCGTGATTCTCTTAGGCTTTCTCATTTGACTTCGAAACACCCAGCAATAGTTGTTTTTTTAACATTGTTTCTAATATCATTTCTTCTTTGCAAATCAACTCTTTGGGGGCATAATTTACATATAGCAAAATGTACCATTTTAATGTGCATAGTTCAACAATTCAAAAATAAAACTACCATCATAGTAAATAGTTCTGCCACGCCCTTTTGCAGATGTGGTATTAACTGATTTCCTGGTTTAGGTCATTGTTCTATGGATATGTAAAATGTCAATATTAGGGGAAGCTGAGTAAAGCTTATAGGGGAATTGTATTATTTTTACAACTTTTTAAGAGTCTAAAATACTACAAAATAAAATTTTAAAAATAGACAAGTTAAATCTAAAAAGAAAAAACTAGAATGTCAATTCTTGATAATCTTTATAAGCTATATTCATTTTAGTTAAAATTCTAAATGTTTTGATCCAATTTACCAGATCTGTTTTTGATTTCTTAGTTATTTTTCATCACTCACATGTAACATATGTTAATGTTTATTGTTTGGGGTACATACAAAAAAGGCTAAAGGAACCTGAATGTGCTATAGTGAGGGGAAAAGAATATTACATCTCAAATTAATGTCCAATTTGATTTCTTTAAAGATATTGTACTGAGAATTTTGATAACCCAAGATGAATTAAATATAACCTTTCCAAGACACATTACTTTTGGTGTCAGATACTTCACAATAAACCATCTGTAACACATATCCTACTCATATAAATCCTATATATTCATCTGTCTTACATGGAAAATGTTATATGAAAGAATTTTAGACTATATTTCATAATGAATGGCTTATATTGAATTAAATACATCGATTGAGATAGCAGAAATCACTGGATTAATTAAATTACATTCACCGACTTCAAAAGTACACTGATTTTCCCTCTCCCAACCATCAAATGTATGTGTATACATAAACAGAGACAAATCATATTTCAAAATCTGTGACATTTAATAAGGTTAAACACTTAAAACAAACTAATACAAACATTTTGATATTTTAAAAATATATATATACATTTTACTAATTATTTATAGTAAAGAAAATCTTGAAAAAAATAAGAGCCAAAATTTTACTTGTATTTTCTGTCACTTTACATAGCTAAACATTATATACTGTTATTTCCATGTATAAGAGCTTTACATTTGTATTTCCTACAATTAAGAAAATCCAAATGTTAAATTTTAAGACATATATCCAATTATGTACAAAAATCACCATAGTCAACTTACAGATTCAAACTTACTTAAAAATCATTATAAACTGTGAAAAATACATATTATGAAAAATTATGTTCTAAAAGTAGCATAATACCAACTCATATAATCTAGGTAAATCCAAAAGTATAAACAATGTTTATAAATTACAGTAGTGTCTATACTGCCCTATCATAAGAGGAGGTATTCTTTGTAAATATGTATGTTATAAATAAAAGTCTGACTTCTTTCAAGTGCCAAAATTATTTTCACTTTAATCATTTTCATTTAAAGCTTTGTAAAAATGTTTATCATCTTTAAAATTGAGTATGCTGAATACAGTGAAACCCTTGGTAACTGAAAATCATTATGAATGCCAATTATTTAGTGACTTATTCATCGAACTATATCTATGAGTGGGGTGATTTTTTTTCTTTTCTCTAAATTAAGTGGCTTTAGACTACTATGTTTTATAATTATTGTTTCCTCTCTTTCTGTTGTTTCACATCTCTAATAATGAGTTCCTGAGGATTTGCCATTATTTTACAGCTAGAAAATGTTTCAATTCCCTGCTTTCACGTATAGGATATAGAAAGCCTAAAATCTCCTTTTAGCCTTGGCTCGAAGAGGAATTTAAAATGTGTCCGTCTGGGTGGGAGGGAGACTGCTTCTGAATTGAGGTATCACGTGTTTGCTCCCCTGCCTACCTTGAACTGTCTCTTTGGTTGTTATGAATTTCCTGCTTCTCAAATACCTGGGTTTTTGACCACCCATCTGGCTTCAACCTCTGATGTTTATATGTTCCTGGTTTAAGTAGGTCTGTCCCTCTGATTCCTGACCCACTGCTCCTGTAATTCTCTAATATTCAAGTGTGCTTGCTTGCCTAACTCTAATGCATTCCTTCTTGCATTTCAATTTATAAATGCTACTCATTTCTTGAATCATCACTGGCCACTAATTACCACCAAACATAATCTCCTAAACTCTGTGAAGTACTAATGCTTCTGATCCTGGTCTCCTATCAGGCCTTTACTCTGTTTGTTATTCTGATCACAGTGTATATAAAACACTACTTGTAAAAAGCTAACCTAGGAAAAAGCTGATAATGAATCTTATTAAATTAGTAGCCGTATTTTATGAAATTTCAAATGGGTATGAACTTCAGCACTTCTTTTAATCAGTAAAATTCTTGACCAGGTAGCAGTTATTTTTACTGATGTTCACTGATCTATCTCCTCCACATTCTGAGTAGACAAAGTTGGCCTAAGTCTGATCTGAAAAAATGGAATTATAATGTTATCATATATGTGAAATACTTAATCTTTAAATAAGTGGATCAGTTAAAGAGTAGAGTTCAATGTTTTAATCAAACAACAATAATACATGCCTACTATGAGCAAAGCACTACTGAAGTGCTATAAGGAATGTACTAGGTGATCAGTTTTTAAAATGAGAAAAGTTAAAGGTGATCAGTTTTGAAAATGAGAAAAGTTAAAGTACTGAGTATACAAACATTGATCAGTAGTTCATTAAGAAATCTTTTCAAAGAATATCAATAAAATGCATGTAAGCCATTTAAAAAAAGCGATCTTTTCCTGTCTAATTGGCACTTTTCTTTACTGAAGCTGGCACATTCCTCTGGAAGACATGTAATTGAATAAAACTATCATAGAGTAATAAGAGGTAAGTGTTAAAAATCAGCAATATCAACAAATCACTTTCTGGAATTCTTGAGTTAAAGTGAAGATATGTGCATACAATGCTAATATTTCTGAATTCACTATGTACTGGGACACAAAGAAGGTAATTAACCAATATTCTAATAGTTCAGTAACTTTCTGTAATAAATCCAGGACAGATTAGTATATGTATATTTAAAATCAAATAATATTATTTAGATGGTTTTAAATTCATGGTCTTTCAATAACAGTTCTTGAAACTTCGAACATAAACTTGATGAATTTAAATTTTTACACCATAAATTTTCTAAAAAAGCCCAAACTATTGGCAATGATAATTAAGATAAGACAAGTTGTAAGAGGGATAGAAACATCACTTTGTTTTTAAAATGTAAACTTTTAACTAATCATTGGTTTTATGTTTCTAGTATAGTTTATTAGTTGGGGATTTCGTACCTAGATGTATCTCTGTGTGTATATGTGTGTGTGTGTGTGTGTGTGTGTTTTGAGGCTTCTGATGGGCCTTGAAGGCACAGGTCTGTTTCTTATATTAAAACAAAACCAAATTAAGAGTCCATACATATACAGAAAACACATTTAATTATAAAATATCAATTTTTAAAATATGATTATCCATATTGTATAGTTAATGCTGCAGTGACAATGTGTATTCTTACAGATGGAGGCCAATTTTCAATCTTCTTTTTTGCTGTTTTACCCATCATTCCCTGCTTTGCTGAGATCACATTCTAATGAAACCGTAGTCACAACTGAATTCTGATTTTGATATGGCACATCCGTGCCTAATGGTGGCGGTTTATACAAAAAGACTGCAAGCCCATTGAAGAAAATGGTGATAATTTTACAAGTAACACCTAAATATAGAAACAAATATTAATCATGCATTTGGGCCTTTAATTATTAAAAAAATTAATTCTCATTGAAAAATTCTTCATGAGTAGAAACTCACTACTGAAAGAGAAGTATATAAGCAATTAGTTTTATGTTTTAAATTTTTAAAACTTTAGTGAGAAGGTTGATATTCTTCAATAGAACATCTGTCCATAATTCAATGAACTAGTCCTTATTTTCTTTCTAAACAATGAAAATGTACAATAATTCTTCTATTTTTGGTTACAATAATACATTCTTAACCAAGGAAAAATAGCTTACGACATCCTTGAACCTGAATAATAAGTTGCAACATTTTCATGTCCATGATGAAAAGTAATTCTAAAAATAAAAAAGGCTTTGGAGTTCTTAAAAGAAAGCCTCTATGGGAATATATAACATTCAATACTCTTCACAGGCTTCAATTTGTCTTCAAAGAACTCTGATTTTAAGCTCAGTTATTTGAAGAAAAACTAGTTCTGGTCACAGTACAAGCATCAAAGTGCCAGCCAAATAAATTAAATGACCTCACAATATGGTTTTTGCAGTAGCTAATTTGTGTTAATCATTAATATTTTACTCAAACTGTGTATTTGAAAAACAGGCATACTCACTGCGCTAAGCATTTCTAGATTTATAAGAAGAACAATTACATAGGTACTACAGTTACAATGTTCTTGGAATATTTAAAGGTATATATGTTTTGGGGAAAAAAATTCTCATATTCACTACAGAGTAGGTAAAGGAACAATTCATTATCTATATTTTTTGGTCAAAAAGTACAAACATAACCAATTAAATAAATTTTTAAGCATAAAAATACACTGAATAAAAAATGTTTTTTAACTGGTAAAAGTGATGGGAAGGGCTTCCCTGGTGGCGTAGTGGTTGAGAGTCCGCCTGCCGATGCAGGGGACACGGGTTCGTGCCCCAGTCCGGGAAGATCCCACATGCTGTGGAGCGGCTGGGCCCGTGAGCCATGGCCGCTGAGCCTGCGCATCCGGAGCCTGTGCTCCGCAACGGAGAGGCCACAACAGTGAGAGGCCCGTGTACCGCAAAAAAAAAAAAAAAAAAAAAAGTGATGGGAAGATTAATTTTGCCTATTCTAGTCAATATTTATCTTCTCATTATTTTGCTAGATTTATATATTTATTTCTTCAGTGGATAATTTATTATTCTGTCATTATAAATTCAGACAGCATACTATGGATTTAAACACATGTAGGAGAAACAAGCTATCTTGATACATGTGTGAAAATAATCACACCACAATCACACATTATTTTAAATACACACATACACACACACACACAGTTGACTCTTGAATAACTGAGGGGTTAGGGGCACTGGCAACCCATACAGTCAAAAATCCTCATATAACTTTACAGACTGCCCTCTATTTGCGGTTCCACATGGCGGATTCAACCAACCTGAAGACTGTGCAGAACTGTAGTACATATTTATTGAAAAAAATCTGCTTATAAATTGACCTCAGCAGTTCAAACCCATGTTGTTCAAGGGTCAACTCTGTATGTGTGTGTATTTATACCTAGAATTTCTCTATTTTTAAATACTCTAATTTCTTAGGTTGTTTTTTTAAATTTTAAATTTTATCATACTCTTTCAAACTAGATGCATTGATCTATTTCCTTATTCTTAATTTTCATTGATTGCTTAACCAAGACTATGGAAGACAGACTACCAAAGGCAAAAAGGGTTAAACGTCATGGCTAACCTTGTAAACCATAAAAAGGTTTCTTACAACGTGCCTTAGAGCCAGAAAATACTTCCCTACCTCAGCTCTGTGTGCTTTCCAAAGCCCAGGTGCCTAAATGACAATCGTTTCAGTTTCTTAGAATTCTCTTTTAGCTTTTTGTTATACTTTCCAAAAAAAGTTTGAAAGAAGTTGTTAAAAGAAAATTATATGATATGTGATATGATGAAAGCTAAATGTTACTCTCTTCTATTTTAGACTGAGCCTTGCAGACTCCAGTTAAGACCTTTTATAATATGCTATGATAAATGATCTTGGCTTCAGGACCATAGGATAATCCAAAAGCATGGACTGAATATTTCAAAACCTAAGTAAGTAACAATAAGATTTTTTTTCTCTTGACATAATCCATTTACTCTAAAGATATCAAAAAGTCACCACTTACTTATGGCCACTAGCATATAGGCCATCTTGATGTTATTATAAATCCAGCAAGCTCCTTTAATTCCACATTCGTTGACATCCCAGAGAATACATGTGCTGTCTATTGTGATGCCAAATATAATAGGCCCAGGTATTGTGCCTAGAAGAATTACATGTGAAGATTATATATAAGTGATTATATATATATATATATACACATAAGTGAATATTATAGTTTATAATTACAATTTTATATATGATTATGTATATATTTTATATAAATATAGGTATTAATCTGCCCATATGCAAATCAATCCGTTCATGTACAAGTAATAGGAATATAAAGAAACGCAGATAAAACATTCTAAAATAATTATACATATTATATATTTCTAATCAATTCAAGAAATTATTTTAATAAACGTCTCTGTCATGTATTGGGTTAATATTTAGTTAAGTAAATATTCTAATTCACTGCTTTTCTAATTTAATAAATGTCTTTGAAATTAGCTATTATAATAGCTAATTCTAATTTAATAAATGTCTTTGAAATTAGCTATTATACTTTAAAAAAATAAAAATAAATTATTGATGCACAGAATAAGTCTCCTAAACTACAGCATATATATTATGCGTGTGTGTGCGGGTGTGTGTGCATGTGCATGTAAACTAATGTGGGTGTGTATATATATTTATATATATATATATATACATACATTCGGTGACATAGATGTGCATGGGAATGTACATATGTACATGCACACAAACGTTCACACTAACATGCCTAGTTCACCATTAATTGTGCAACTATGGGCAAATCCCTGAATCTCTCAGGTCCTTAATTTACTCATCTAAAAAATTGAAAACTTGGTCTAGGGGATCTCTTAATATTTCCTGCTTTTGATTTTGATTTTTATAAATAATCTTAATATTATTCATAATATTATTCATTAATATTATTCATAATATTATTCATAAAATTATACACACATATAATTACGCGTAAGACATGTTTCTGCCTTATTATTCTTCCTACATCTGGAACCTTAAAAATTTTCTGGCATAAATTATTTCTTCCATCAATTCTTAACTAGATACAATATTCACAGCACAGTTTTTATTGAAACATATAAATTCATCATTTTTCAATGCTAATGTAACATAATTATGTCCTAAATGGAGTTAAATACAGAGAGGAAAAGGAATTACAATAGTTATAAATAAGATTTTATCATAATTTATGTTGGTGATGGGTTTTATATGAATAGAAAAAAAATTATGTCTTTTACTTGCTCTATTAGAAATGTGCTGATGATAATATGTTATATTTTAAATAAATATAATATACTCTTTAGGGTTATATTTGCTACAGAATTGGAAACAACAGTTAACCAATCAGGTAGGTGAAAAGTAAAGTCATTATTTTCCTATGTGATATATAAATAATACTACATCTTGAATAGTGAAAAACAGCTCTCTTCAATGACAATTGCAGAAACTAATTGCAGTTCCACTGCAGTTAAACTAATTGTTTTCTTGGCACATACTGTAAGTGAATAAATCAATAACAGTAATGAATAAAAATAACCAACAGTTACCAATGCATTAAGAAAAATGGCATACCTAATAATCGAAGCAACACACACTGTATTCCCAATGCTAGAGACCGCTGCTTTTGATCAACACACCTGGATATATTAAATGCATATAAGACAAAAAATGGTTGTATAGTGTATTTACTCTTTGAGCAAATTCATTTTTGTAACAGCTTAGCATTTCTAGATTAAAGCAAATACTACACACATGAAATAAACAAATTATTTATAACAGCTTATATACAGTTCAACCTTTCTGGAATTATAAGAGAAGAAAAATGTTATCTCAACTAAAATACTGCAAATAATACCAAAAAGGAGTCAAGTGAGTTTTAACAAATGTATTGAATATGTATGAATTTTAGCAAATGTAAAGAAGAAAGGACATTCATTAACAAGACTTCTATTTGACTATCCCATAAGTTACAAGTCATATGGCTTAAGTTGCAAGCAAATAATTCTTACTCTCTTATTAACTTTGAGATAGAAATCATACCTGTGAGTTACGGTTACAAATTTGAGGTAGTGTAAAACAATTTCTGATGCTCAATTTGATTCAACAATATTTCTTTAAGTAATAACTCTCAGAGATGAATGAGACATGATGTTGGCACACAAGAGAGTTAGATGGGAGATAGAAGAGATCAAGTAGTCTTTAAAAAAATATATATGTAGGTAAAAAGTGACATAGATGTAATAGGTGTTATGTTAACAGACTACTTAATGTTTTTAGACAAAATCTCTGAAGCCTCTGTTTGTCAAAAAGTATGTGAAAAAGCAGTGAGTATCAAGGAACAAAAATTGAAGACGGAAAAACCTAGTTTGTTAGGAAAGATATAGAAAGGCTGATGAGCTTACGGAAGGGCAAATAGGAAATATTTTTACAAAGTGGTGTGGAAGGAAGAAGAGCCAATGAAAGCACAAAAGACTGAAGAGCCAGGGGAGAGCCAGCATATTTTACTGTTTACAGGAAGGTTTAATATCACAGCACCTACTGTATAAGACAGAATGCACATCATTCTGATTCTGACACATGTGGAATGCACTGCCATTTCCATCATACTCAAATGCAAATGATTATAACTCCAGCTTACAACCGAAGCCTCATGAAAGAAGCAGAGAAACTAGCATCGAGTACATGCCAAGTAGGCAATGTTAAGACACTTTCACAACCATGATTTTGTTAAAGCCTCAAACATCTTGGGTTCAATGAGGTAGCATTCCCAATGCCACAGAACTAATGATCTTGTAAGGGCTGAATTAGTATTGGAACCAACAGTCAATATAAACCCCAAATAAATCCCTAAGTCCATTTTTTTTCATTCAACATGTTGGCTTAGGGATGGCAAATTTCACAATATAACACATACCTTAGGATAGACACAGTTATAGGAGTACCAGCCATGAAGGTAAAAACAATTGCAGCAAAGAAAATGCCAAGGAATACAGGCAAGTTTTTACATTGACTCGAACACTTCCCAGCTTGAGCTTCAAAACTAAAACTTGATGGAGTAGGTGTTACTTCTGTTTTTCTTTCAATACATGAACAGTTATAATATACCTGGAAATATTAGACATAAACATACTAAAAGTGCTTATCTTCAAAACATATTTTATCATTGCAAATTATGTGAGTTTTAGACATGGCAAACACTTACACAGTCTTAATTCATACACATCAAATAGTGATAAGAAACAGTAATAACCCTTAAGAAATCAAGCAAGTGAAAACAAGGGGCCATAGTCACAAAGCAGAATAATCTGTATTTGACTTTTGTGTCCATTATTTTAACTTGTAACCTGTTATTGATTCATGTCTTATAAAACAAATTGACAAGAATATAACAATTAGATGATCTCACACATTCTAGGCTGCTTTCAATAGATCACAATTGTTCAAATAGCTTTCCTAATTTTCTTCTTTTCCATTATTAGGACACAAAGAAAAGCATGCATAGTGACAATCTCACTATTTATGCTAGTTTGGAAGAACTAACACTCTAATTTTAACAATTGCCACAGTAAATTAACTAATACATTACAAGAGTTTGAGGAAAAAAAAACTACTTTCAACTAAACCTTTTTACTATAATTTTCTGAACTTTTTGAATTGTTTTACCAAAAGCAAACTGGATCCTTCTTAAGATGGCATATTTATGATAATCAAAAACTAGAAGTTATTATGTTATCCTGAAGGCTATTTTTATTAACATATTAACTATTTAATATATATATACACATATATATGCACATATATGTATACATATAAATTAATAATATGAAATGTTGGAAAGTAACATGTTTAAAAATCACAAGTATTACTTTTGCAGGAAAAGAGTTCAGGTATTTGAAAAGTTAGGCATAATCATTTTTAAAGGCTTTTTACATCTCAAGCCCACCCTTACTACAAATCTTTTTATATGTTTAAGGCCTCAATAAAGTCAGAGCAGAGCTAGAGAAGTCAGAGTGAAGTGGTGCTTTTACTGTCCCAAAGGCCAGAGACCACTGGTACTGATTCAGGAAAATCAAATATGCAGGTGACATTCCTAAAATGAAATATTACATACTCAGCAATCCGATATGTCAAATAATGAAATAAAGTAGCCTTTAAAATTTTTAAGAAGGAAAACTGAAAACAGTATTTTGTATCTTAATGAAGCTTTACAACTCTCTTACATAAAAAAGTATATATTTGCCTATAATATAGCTAGCTGCTAGAACATCTGTTTTTGTAGTTCAGATCACTGGTAGGAAATATATTCTATTTCTGTGAAAAAATGTGCATAGATATTTATTACATTATTATCAATGCATTTTGCCTATCTGATATATTTCATAAAAAGATCCTGTGAAAAAATGAGTTGTTACATGGACTAGTTGGACATAAAAAAGCCAGGTCAAAAAGAAAATTTGGAAGTCAAAATAACTTGCTTTTCTGAAACAATCCCTAGAAGACAATTTATTGTTTAAAATGGTGATGATAATATTTGGTGACAAATATAAATATCGAATTAACCATGTCAAAATAACCAATACCATTTCAAGTGTGCTCTGGGTATTAGATTTTTTATTTATTTACTTATTTATTCATTTATTTTGGTTTCCTTGTGCAGGATGGTATTTGTGTCTATACATTTTGCTATGTGAGTAAAACCCTTCCATTAATTTAATTCCTTGTCATAATCTCTCATTAGAGTTAGTCAATAGCACTTATTGATTGATGATATTTTATATACAGGAAAATGCTACCTACTTATCTGCCTCTCAAAGGAATAGTTTACCTTCACCTATGATATGTATTATGCTCACTTGTGGAATCTGATTCCTTATAACTGACACAAACACCTAATTTTCTCAACCTGTTTTGAAACTAAAGCAACCCCAGATGTCCACTGGTTTGAAGGCATGGTAATCTTTCATTAAATTTTCACAGGAACTTTATGGTAGTTATTTAGTTAGTTTTACTCCAAGGATTAAAACTGCAGGTCAACCAAGTCTATTAAGTCTGCTATGATTCACCACATTTTTTCTGGCATATTTTTCAATGTTCTTAGACAACTATTTTTAAGTCTATAAGCTAGGTAATATGAAAAAAAATGTATACTGTTTCTCACATTCTGGTTTACCCCTAGCAGAAAGATGAAATCCTACATCTCTGTTGAGATAAATGTTCGATGTATTTATTACACACAAAATCATTAAAGATATGTATACATATATACAGACATATATTTATGTGCGTATATATGAACATATAAATGTGTATAACCACACACACACATACAGACATCTGTGTTAGTTCTAAAATAAATCTGAAGTACTGTTATAGATTATTTCAATTAATGATTTCTATTTATTTATGTAAAAATCTTTTCTTGCAATCTTAAAGTTATCTTTATATAGGAAAAGGAATGCCATTTCACTAATACATATTTCAAATATCCAAGATTGTGCTGTTTTGTCATATAATTCTTACATACCTTATTCATTGTAGTCTCTTATATCATATTATATATTTCCCTCAGGTCTTTTTAAAGTTATCACATTATCTATTAATGCATAACATTACCTATTATGTACTACTAGTAATGTGAATATTATTTCTTCCCAGGCTATTAAATTTAACGAAGATAAAATCTTTAGAGTGTAGATGTAGTACAACAAAATTCTATTGGATTTTCTTAAACCATTTAATTGTATTAAAAAGAAATCATATTTAGGTAAACTGATATGCATTCTTTTTTTTTAATTTTATTTATTTTTTGGCTGTGTTGGGTCTTCATTGCTGCACGCAGGCTTTCTCTAGTTGCAGCGAGCGGGGGCTACTCTTCATTGCAGTGCACATGCTTCTCATTGCGGTGGCTTCTCATATGTGGAGCATGGGCCCTAGAGTGCGCAGGCTTCAGTATTTGCAGTGCGTGGGCTCAGTAGTTGTGGCATGCGGGCTCTAGAGCACATGGGCTTCAGTAGTTGTGACACACAGGCTTAGTTGCTCCGCGGCATGTGGGATCTTCCCGGACCACGGATAGAACCCGTGTCCCCTGCATTGGCAGGCGGATTCTTAACCACTGCACCACTAGGGAAGTCCTGATATGCATTCTAATCCACAGCTAAAAGTAAACTTGCATTTGAGAACAGATTAGTGATCTGTATATATTTTTAATGTGTCCATGGTGTATCAATTAAAAGCAACAAATATTTACTGTGTTTTTATTATATACACTGTACTCAGTAAGAATAAGAGAAGTTCCCTGACTTCCAGCGACATAAAGTATAGTTGAGAAAAAATAAAACAATGTAAAAAGGTAAATAATATTTCACTTCTATAACAGAAGTGATGTTATAAAGATGTAATGTGAAGAACTGCTAAATTGATTTTTCAACAGTAATTGAATGTGAGGTGTAAAGGAAGAAGAATCTTTTTCATATGGAGTGGTCAGGGGCCTTTTTTTTTTTTTTAATTAAGGTAAGAACACAACAAATTTTAAGTGTATGATGCATTATTGTTCACACAGGTACAATGTTGTATAGCAGATCTCTTGAACTTACTCATTTTACTTGACTGAAACTTTATGCCTGGCTTCTGAATGGAGGAGGTGGGCCAGGAAGGAAAGACTAGGCACAGCATAACACCACTAGAGGGATAAGGAAGGGCATCAGAAATACACAAACATACTGCCTCATTGAGGTAAAGGAAGTAAGGTAAAGTAAGGTAAAGACACAAGTTACCTTTGGATGTCTTTTGGAAACAGAATTTGTACAACCTGCATAGCAGGGAGAAAAATATTGGATTCCATTTCCTCCACAGATAGGATAATAATATGATCGCAGGCAGTTACAATTGGCATTACAAGGAGCGATCAAGTTTCCCAGTTCTCCTGTCCTGTCAACAAGAAATAAAAGATGGGTAAATTATCTATGTTATAACTTTTAATGAACAGTTCAGAAGCATTGTTATATCTTGCCATTCAATCATTTATTCACTTACTCAACACTTCATTTAATTACTGAACAAATAAAACAAACAGAATGTCTGCCTTTTCACATACACCTTAATTAACTTCTTGTGGAAGAGACAAGCAGTAGAAACAATAGCTATATAATATAATGTCTGTCAATGATTTAAAAAACATAGGCAGAGTAAGCAAATAAAGCAGTTTCTCATGTGGTACCAGATAATTCTTTTTTTTTCTTTCTTTTTTTTGGTGCGGGGTGAGGGAGGGCTGGTTCTGTGGTTGTAGTACATTTAGCAGCATCCCTGGCCTCTACCCGCTGGATGCCAGTAGCATCCCCTTAGTTGTGACAACCAAAATGTATCCACACACTGCCTAATTTCCCTGGGATGTGAGTGAAATTTTAAACCTGGAAGGATGAATACAATTGTAATCTTCAGCATACTCACTTTATCAATGGGAAAACTAAGTCCCAGAGAAATTAATTTACTTTTCTTTCTTTTCCAAATATAATACTCCTGGTTCCCAGGCTTGGTGTTGTTCCATGCTGCCTCTTAATAGGAGGAACATCTTTTAAAATATAAAGGGTTACCCTAGGCAAAGATACTTCTCCAATCCCTTATTTATTTGTTCATTAAACCAATATATATTGAGCAAGTGCTAGGCCCTATACTAGGTATTGGGACTACAAAGCTGATAAGACAGTCACCATTCTCAAAGATTTCACAGTCTAGGAGTAGAGTGGACACAAATTTATACACTAATATGGTTATAGACTGTGGTTATAGATATCAACAGAGTGTATTTTATACATCTGCACTGAGGAATGACACTTAAAACAAGCCAAAGTTTAGATAAGTGGGTCTGAAGGAGCATCTGTCTGAGATCAGTCTTAGAGAATGAGTAAGAGTTAGCTGAGTAAATGGGGAAGGCGAAGGGTACTTCAGAGAAGCTGATAAAAGTCAAAAGGTGAGAAATAACATTCTATATGGAGAAATATGAATGATGTCTGAGGCAGGGAGTGATAGGAAATGTAGTTGGAAAAGAGTCATGGACCAGATTGTTGAAAGCCTCATGGGCCTTGTTAAAAAACAATGGGCTTTAACTTATTTTGAAAAAGTAATCAAGTATTTTAGACTGAAAAGTGGCAACGTGAAAAGTACATTTTAAAGAAATAACCCTATGTGGAGTTTGAATTTGGAGGAAGGGGACCAGTTACAATACCCTAGGCAATAAATTATGATAATGTGTAGGAGAACTAAAATAGAATTTTGATTAAAAAAAAAACAGATTTGAGAAATATTTTGGATGTAGAATCAGTAAGATTTGGTGTTTGGTTGACTGAAGATAGGAACAGGATGGAAAAGTCAAGAGTGACTCCTAGTGTCTAACTTGGCATTTTGGTGGAGAAGAACTAGTTCTGGGGAAGAGGTGATGGGTATGGTTTTATACATGTTGAGATTAAGAGTCTCAAATTTGGTGAAGAAATCTGGCCTGGAGCCAGGTATCTTAATATCCATTTGCATATAGATGTAGCTGAAACTCTGAGAATGATAAGATCAACCATATAAAGAGTCGAGAGTACAGAGAGGTCTTGGGAGTTCATTTATTTCATGAATACGTAGTGAGCTCCAATCATGTGCTAGACTCAAAGTGGTGGAAATATATCTAAAATAAATAAAGAAGTAGAGATAAAGATAGAGGAAGGAAGGGAGGGAGGAAGGAGGGCAGGGAGGGAGGGAGGGAGAGACGGAGGCGGGGAGAGGGAAAGAAAGGAAGGGAGGAAGGGAAGAGGGAGGGAGGGAGGAATAAAATTCCCTGCAGCCATGAAGCCAAGTTTCTTGCACTGGGGATCAAAAACAGTAAATGAGTGATTTATCTAAGTATCAGAAGATAACTGCTATGTTGCAAAATGATGATACCTAAGGAGTAAGTGGAGAACAAGAAGCTCATGAAGGAAACAGATTAAAGAGAAGAATATAAAACAAATGAGGAACAAATCAGTAGGGAGTTTGAAGGAAAGGGTGATCAAAGAGTAAATTTTAAGTAATTCATCTCTCTGCTTAGAGTCTCTCTGTCTTCAAATCTATTCCACAGGCTGCTGCTAGATGTCTTTATCAAGCATGATGCCATTCATGAAAGCAATCAGGATAGTCTCTGCCCACATCTAGTTTACAATATAGATGTAGAAATCAGGTGACAGAAAAACTATCCCTGCAACTCTAGAAATAGCCTCTACACAATAATTTTTAAATTAAATTTTTCCAATATATAATCCCCATATTATTGATAAATGATTACTAAGAATATGAAAATTTAAGACAGTCTGAGGCAAACTACAGTAGAAACAAAGAAATATAGAATATATTCTTTATTATCAAGGGTTTAATCACCTTAGCCTACACATTTTCTAAAGGTTTATTTCATAAAGTAAAGGGGAAACTATTACCAGGAAAATAGCCAGTGCCTGTGAAGTTTATTAAATTTTCTTAATATATACATATTTTTTAATATATAAAAATCTTAAATTTTTAAAAATTGAATATTAAAAATATTTAAAATGTATCATTTTGATTATACACAAAAAATATATAATCTTAAAAATACACATAAATGTGTGTTTATGCATATATATGTATATATGAGAAACGTGTTTATCACGAATAGCTGAATTTAAACATTAATGTCTTATTTGAATCCAAATTATTATTCTATAGTTATGTTTCTACAATAAGCAAAGATTTCCCTAAATCTACTGCAACTTCTTGATAGACATGCCTCTTTAAGGCGCTGTTTCAGATAAGCAATGAAATTCTAGCTATAGGCCAGATAGGGAAAAAATACTGTGTGTACTTACTACAAACCCTGCATCTTCACAACCTCTCTTTCTCCCACTTCACTAAGAAGGTATTTCTTGAGCTTTTTTTTTTTTTTTTAAATTAAGGGTACTTTAATTAATTTATGTATTTTTGGCTGTGTTGGGTCTTCGTTTCTGTGCAAGGGCTTTCTCTAGTTGGGGCAAGCAGGGGCCAGTCTTCATCGTGGTGCGCGGGCCTCTCTTGTTGCGGAGCATAGGCTCCAGATGCGCAGGCTCAGTAGTTGTGGCTCACGGGCCTGATTGCTCCGTGGTGTGTGGGATCTTCCCAGACCAGGGCTCGAACCCATGTCCCCCTGCATTAGCAGGCAGATTCTCAACCACTGCGCCACCAGGGAAGCCCTCTTGAGTTTCTTAGTCTGTTCTTTCATTGTACTTTGTCTTATACACGTGTTTCTTGCATAAGGTTATTATGACTAAGCTGTCCATGATGTAGACATTTTAATATGCAGGGCACATAGCTAAATTAAGAATCTGGGACCACAGAGAAAAATGATCTGACAGGGCTTCCCTGGTGGCGCAGTGGTTGAGAGTCCGCCTGCCGACGCAGGGCACACAGGTTCTTGCCCCGGTCTGGGAAGATCCCACATGCCGCGGAGCGGCTGGGCCCGTAAGCCATGGCCGCTGGGCCTGCGCGTCCGGAGCCTGTGCTCCGCAACAGGAGAGGCCTCAACAGTGAGAGGCCCACGTACCACTAAAAAAAAAAGAATGATCTGACGATTTCACACCTCCACTGTGACTTCAAGCCTTATCTCTTTATTAATAGAATCTACACACACACGCACACACATCCCGTGTGTGTGAATGTGCGTGTGTATGTGTGTATACTCACTTTCAGTTTTTTTCACCACTGAGAATGTGTATGTAATTAAGCTCTGTCTCTATGTCCCAGACCTTGATACCTCTCGATGACCAGCCCTCACATGCACGTCAAACTGACACCACCTCACTTGCTTTCCCTTCTGATTAGGCTAAGGCCACTCATCTGGTAGTGACTCTTGCTTAAGGTAGAAAATATCAGATGGATTCACATCCACATCATCTCTGCATCAAGGTGATAGAGTAGTATTAAACTATCCAGAAGTTTCTGTACTTCTAAAAGGAACATACAAAAAAAGTGGTTTCTTGGGGTACATTTGGGTAAAGTTTATAGGTGTCAGTCAGTTTCTGCACAACTTACCTCTATCTATCTTTCGACCTTTCCAGGTATCTTTCTACTATTTCCAGACACATGACCTAAGCGCCATTCAAACTGGTACCTTCACTTTCTAGCATTTATGCTTTGGCTTAACATATTCCTTTGCCATTCCCTCTCTCCCAAATCTTTCTCTCTCAAGCTTTTTGTATACTTAGAGGATATTTTAGCCCTATTTCTCTATTATGCCATGAAGCCATTCCTAAATCTAATTAAAGAAATTGAAAAGCTCTTTTTAATTCCATAGCCTTTTATATCTCTCACCACCTAATTCATTGTTCATTCACTGTTTTGTTTCCCAATCTATCCTGCTACCCTAGAAACTCCTTTAGAGTAGGAATTTTGCCATAAAAGTCTGCCAGAGGAAGCAGTCGATGAATTGTTGAACAAATGTAATGGAGCTGGACTAAACATTGCTTTCGAACATTTTTCATTAATATAAAAGAATGACAGACATGAACAGTAGCTACAAATCACGATAATTGTTACTGGCAAACTTTTCAAAACAAACTTTTTCCTTTATTTAGGTTATCTGAATGCCATATTAATACAAAATTAGAGAGTCCTTGACCTGGAGCACCATCCCCTTCAACAGTCTCAAACACATATATTCAAACAATTAAAGCAGCACTGTGGGCCATAAAACACACTGCTGGGCAATGTCCTACAGCCTGATCCTCTGTTGTGGCTTAGGATTTCAAAGCAAAACAAATAAGGCAAGGAAAGATAAAATGGTCAAACCAGTTATAGGTAGAAATATGTTTACAGGTCATAACAACAAGAAGTTATTTATTTCTCTATAATAAACATGAACTTCTAAAGTAAACACAACAGTGATTAGTATCACCTAGTTTTAGCTTCATTTTAATTTCTCTACTAGCCTATTTTCAATCCATCTAATAGGAGAATTTCACCATAGGGAGTTTTAAAATTTAAATCAATAGGAATATGAAATAGGAATAATATGAAATTCTCCCTAGGATGTTGAATCCATTACGGACAAAGATTCTGTAATATTAATCTTTGTATCCCCGAGAATAGTACTCAGTACAGAATAGTTGTTTCTTAAATTCTTTCTGAAAAAATATCCAACTGTTAATATGATATCAATTATTGAAACTAAAAGTAAAAACTACATATTCTTACATAGGAAAAGCAGCCTTCCAATTTTTTTTTAAAAAGCCAATTTCTTATCATTTTATTTAAGAAAGCATATACTTGGAAATACACACATAGTTTATTACTCTGATATTAATATCAAAAAGCAGTGAAATATACTTACCCATTATATGATTCAGATACACCTGCAAATGGCTCATTTTCACAGTTGGCATAAACAAATACAAAAGTCAGTGTAAGTGCAGTTATAGACATGAGCAAAGCAAACTTCATTATGTTTTTACACGTCATTTTGAATTTCGAAACAAGGATACCACCTAAAATCTGACCAAGAGCAGCTCCCGGAATTAAAACAGTCCCTAATGAGAAAGAAGACACAGTGAGAAAACATACACGTATACTCAGTAATTTATACCAACAATTGGAAAACATCAAAAACAAGTAGTACTATGGTTTTAACATATGAAAGCACTCATGTGATTTAGAAACAACATGAGTAAATGAGTTAACAGTTATATTAAGAGATTAATAAAATTAATGTTTTGAATATTAAGATTAATATATATTCGCTTTACCTCTGTATATAGCATTTGTATCTCTCAAATTCATACAATAGATTGTCTAATGTCAGAAAATTGGAAACGTTTATCAAAATCAGTGTAAAGTTTAAACTTCAAGGAGTGGGCTATCCAAAATTTTATGCTATTTTAATAAATATCTAATGTGGTAAAGTAAGATTATTAGATTAAGCTAGAACAAAGAAAATGTTTTACCTGCAAGGGTAGCTGCAGAGCTGGAAGACAATCCAAACTGATTTTCTATAAATTTAGGTAAAAATGTAGCAAATCCAGTAGTAACTAAGGCTTCTGAGCAAGTTGATAGAACTAAACACATAAAGACAGTATTCCTCATCAAATTCTAAAGAAAAAATACAGTTCACCAAATGAATAACTATGATTATACTGCAAAATGCAGCATTAGAATGGTAGGTACCATGATGAAATAGCACATTTTAAATACACACAATATAATTATTTGTAAAATTTCAGCATTTTCTTTAGCACAAAAGTATAAATACTGATCACTAATAGTTTTATACATACAATGTTGAGAAAATTTATACATGGAGCACCTAGAAAATTGACAGATGATTAATCAGTAGGGTGAATGTGCCTTGATCATATGCAAGGGACCAGGAAAGGAGGTAGAAGCTGGCTTGGAAAGTTCTCTTCCCCAGTCTTACTATATATCTCCATACAATAAATCTACCCCATATTCGATTTTTTTAAATTGTGTTCTGAATCCCTATGTCCAGTAAATGAAGAATTGACTGTGAGCAAAGATGAGAGTGGTCTCTAAGTATCAAACTTTTGGTATTGCTCCACAAGTATTGCTCTCGGTAGTTAAGAACCTTAGGTATAGAGTTAAGCAATTTTCAATAAGGGTCTATATTGCTGGAGTTCTCAGAACCTTATTAATCTACCAGAGGGGAGTGTAGAGATTCAGTTATTTCACAATATTTAACCATAAAGTGAACACCCACAAAGTATAGTTCTAGAATATTCAATGCAAAAAAATTTAATAAAACTGAGCAACACACACACACAAAGGAGTCACAAAAAGGCAAGATAAGAGATTTAGAAGTCAGAGCCAGATGATCGAACATAAGAATAACAATAGTGACAAAAGGAAAAAAAGTACCTGAATGAAGAAATGCAATAATTTTTAAAAATAATGAGCAGAAAATATTTAAGTTTTCAGATTGAAAAAGATAATGGAATCCAAGCAAGGATTAATGAAAAATGATACATATTTAGGAATAAACTAGTGAATTTCCTGAAATCAAAGAGAAATGAAAAAATTTACAAATTTGCAGATAGAAATAACTAAGAATCACATTAACTTGAAACTTCTCAACTGCAACATATTTAACTAGAAAAGAGCCAAACAACATCTACAGACTACTAGAATTAAAGGAGTATGATCTGAAAGTATCCATCCAGTCAGAAATATCATTCTGACATTCAAGGATACTTAGATGGCATCCTATCTGAGAAAAACCAGCAATAAAATGCTGTATCTATAGAGATCTGAATCAGAATCAAGATCTCAAAGCATGAGAACATAAGGATAAAAAAAGCATTGGTGAGTAATGACTCTTGATACATATAAGAATTTATAGAATAAATAGAAATATATGAAATAGAAGAGAACTACTATAAAAGAAAATAACAGTAATTAGAATTAAAAACAATTATAAACAATCTCAGCAAAACACAAGAATGTGCCTGTATGGAAGAGGAGGAAGGAGAGTTAAAAAGTAGGATGAATGGAGTAAAAACATGTTAAGGCTTTCATTTGAGGAGGGAAAAAAATAATAAAAAGTAAATAAGTTCAAATCTTGAAAAGGTAAAATTATAAATTCCCTTATGTACAAAACTTTTATGATGCTAAATAGAAAGAATACTTCTCTGCCGAGTTCAATAAAACAGACCATAACACTTTTGTTTCTTTAACCTCAAATTCAAAACAAGTAACCACTAACCGCCACTTCTTTCACAAGGGAAAAATATTGGTTTGGCATTCTCAAAAACATTTACAATTCAATGATAATTGATCCATCCATTACACAAGGGAAATGGCATGGGATAATGGACTATATGCTAATGCGGAACCACTGAATATTGATATTGCCAATAAGATAACTCATGTTCTTCCAACCGATCTACTCTGGAATAGTTTTCATTTACTCAAAGCACAATACAATTAAATCTGAAGAGGTTTTTATAAGAGCTAGAACTATAGTAAATAAGCCAGCAAGAGTGCATTATGATAATATTTGTGTGTATGGATATACTGTTTACATATATTTGTAATATATACATATATCTACATATGTATGTGTGTATAGTTGTATGTGTGTGTGTGTGTGTGTGTGTGTGTGTGTGTGTGTACAGTGTTATTTTACCTTTAGAGCAGCTGGAAAATCTTTAAAACTTTGTCCAAAATTCCCATCTGTATGTTGTAAAGAATTACTCTGATGAATCTGGGAAGTTTTTCCATCTTGAATTTCTGCTGTACCTAAAAATATAGTAAATTTACCCACTCTATCTTCTTGCTTTCTAATGATTCTTTCTCATCCTTTATGCATTAAACAAAGAATGTTTAAAGCGCTTCTCTTCTACTCTAATTCTAACATGTTTTTTAGATGAAATAATATTTATTACCTATTATCATGTCTAATTTTTAATAATAGTACCGTGAATAAATCTGAGAAAACAGTCAATACATAGACTCATAAGTTGGATGGCCCAAGGTAGAAAGAAATCAATGAGTCCATCTACTTCTACTCTGCCTACTTTTCTTCTACCCATTTCCAGAAGTTAATCATCTATCCTGTTACATCTATTCTGTTACATATAACAGAAACAACTAAATGCCTTCAGCATGGAGAAAAATACTTCTATAGATATGTATATGAACCACATGATTATAAAGAAACAAAATCTCACAGACAAAGGAATAGATATTCTTTTCTATTAATCTTTTCTTTTAGGACAGATTTTTAGTATTGAAATTTGGTGAAAATAAGTATACAAGGGCTTCCCTGGTGGCGCAGTGGTTAAGAGTCTGCCTGCCGATGCAGAGGACACGGGTTTGTGCCCCAGTCCGGGAAGATCCCACATGCCGCGGAGTGGCTGGGCCCGTGAGCCATGGCCACTGAGCCTGCACGTCTGGAGCCTGTGCTCCGCGACGGGAGAGGCCACAACAGTGAGAGGCCCACATACCGAAAAAAAAAAAAAAAAAAGTATACAAAAGCATGACTTTGGTGACAATTGAAAAAAAAGTACTTGTACTATCATTAATAAATAATTAACATCAATTGGCTCTTGAAGTTACTAACTAAATACAAACTAATAGTTTAAAGTTACTAATAGTTTAAAAGATATTATATCTCACATAAACATAAAGCAAGATTCCAGATAACACATAAGATATAAATTTAATAAAGAGGTGAATATGTACAGTTTTATTGGGTATTAAATGAAAATAAAGAAAAACCATGAATATTAAGATTGTTACCCAATATTTCCTAAAATAAAGACAGATATTCAAAAGTTTGCATAGGCAGACAACTGAGATTCTATTAAAAAAAATAGTGAATTTTCTAGGGTTCTTAGTAATAATGTAGAAAGCAACAATTGGCCTAGAATTGGAATAAAACTCCCTGGTTTTAAAGAAAATATTTTTACCTGGTAAGTGCTTTGGAAAGCAAGAAAAAGGTATTATCAAAGACCAGGCAAAGAGCCAAGACATGAGAAATCCAATCCACCATGCCCCCAGCCATCGTGGATCATCCTCAGTGATATCAATGCTATATGACAGAAAAACAGGAGGTAAAAGTCAACTCTACCTTGTTAATTAAAACTCAGTCACGATAATTATATAATTTATCATTCAAATGCATATATAGAGAAATATTATTATATTATCCAAAATTTTTAGTGGAGCCATTTTGAAGAATCACAATGGATAGCAGGCATAAGTGAGAGCTCTAAGAATAATGATTTACAAAGTATTCCACATGGCAAATACAACACAGAAGTTTTAAATATTTAATAGTAAATATATGTATGTTGACTATTTGAAAGCATGCATGGAATTTCTGAACATTCTTTATCTAACTTTGGCTACATTTTTCTTCTCTGAATATTATAATATATAGTATATATATAGAATACTAAATACATCTCACAGCGAATCACTGATTTTTGTTAAACGCCCATACACTATGCCCCAATTGTGGCATTCATTTGAATGTGAAATTCTTCTTAAAGTGATAATATATTAACAGTTTGTTATAATGGTTGTCATATTTTTATATCAACAGGCTCTTCCTCAAAACACATCATTTCTACAACTCATTTCACTCCACTGAAATTAAAACCCAGCTTTCTGCTCAAGGGCTTCCTCTGTACACCTTTTTATACAGTCTGGAAAAGATTAACCTAGGGCTACAAACATCAGTATCTTTGTATTGTACCACCTTCTGAAATTTTTTATTAACCTATAGTCTCTAAAAGATTAACCTAGGGCTTCCCCGGTGGTGCAGCGGTTGAGAGTCCGCCTGCCGATGCAGGGGACACGGGTTCATGCCCCGGTCCGGGAAGATCCCACATGCCGCGGAGCGGCTGGGCCCCTGAGCCATGGCCGCTGGGCCTGCGCGGCCGGAGCCTGTGCTCCGCAGCGGGAGAGGCCACAACAGTGAGAGGCCCACGTACCGAAACAAAACAAAACAAAACAAAACAGATTAACCTAGTCTCTAAAAGATTAACCTGGGACTAACAAATCACATACTGTGACCACATTTTCTTATTCATTGCTCACAGTCATGCAAAGGACTGTGAAGTTACAGTAAAATGAGAAAATATGGCCTCAGCAAAGGCCACTAACTTCTCTATTCAGGAAAAGGAGATGGTAACTCAGTGGGTAAGAAGGGGATTTTGGAGTCAAAAAGATCTACTTCATTTCATGCCTTGGCCACTTACCAAGTTCTGTGTATCAACTACCTTATAAGATTATTAAGAGGATTAAATAAAATGGCATGTAAAATTACATTATACACAAAACCTATGTTGTCTAGAACACAGTATGGGATAAACAAACATTACCTATTATTATCCTCCAGTGTTACAGTTGTTAAAGCTGAACAATTGTGATCTCTATATTATCAGAGCTACTATAGCACTTAGTCTGAGAATCATAAACTCTCGAGACTCTTCAGGCTATCTACCTACAGCTAAATCTACTGAAAGCACAACTAACTTTAATTAAACTATTATTTTTGAACAATGCACAGGGTACTGGTTATGTATTTTGAAAATTTTCACCATCTAACTATTAAGCATCCTTATTTGTAAATAAATACTCTATACCAAGAGATGGTGTGGCATTAATTCGTGAAGCAATGCAGCCAAAATAGTACATAAAAATTGTGTGTATTCAGTTGTGTTTCCTGAAAAATCCCTCATGATATTCTGAAGAAATATTATAAAAATATTCCGCCTATGGTACTAACGTGATTCAAATAATATAAATCTAAATAAAAGAAAAATAGATATTGCCTTGCCTTTGTCCCAAATCAGCATCAATGTACACGGTTAGCAACTGTCCTCCCAACACATAGCCAACAGCAGGGCCTAAAATTGACATGGAATAGCCAATTCCTAGAAAAAGAACAAAGACAATGAAAATGGTCATCTGTGGGACTTTGCTTTGAATGTCTGACAAGTGAAGAAAGAGAAATATTTTACTATAGAAAAACAAAATGATTAGAATTATATGAAAATTACACATATTTGTCAAGGAGCTTAAAATACATAATTCAATGTCAAATTTTTTAGACTACAATAGTGATGGCAACAAATCCAATAATTATAAATTTATGAAAGTTATATCACGTTAACTCACAGCAGGGGTAGTTCATCTACTATTACCCTTTGTGAACAGTGATAGTAATTACTGGCTACAATTCTTACGGAAGAAAACAAAGTGAAATGAGAAGGCTTTTATATTCTATACACATTCCAAAAGCATTCTATGGCAGCTGATTTAAAACCTGGATCTGGTTCATTAGTCTGTTTCTTAAAAGTAAACCATTAAACTCCTTCTCTTAGTGAATCTCCCATTTTAACTTGCAACAGAATTAAACTGACCTTATTTCTCTGATATTTAAAACTTTGCCATATATAACTTTTTACTTTTTGTTAAAAAATTATGCATACATCAGTATCTTCATATACTATCACCTTCTGAATTTTTTCATTAATTACTGAGATTCTCGTTCTCATACACAAAAGAAAAGGAATATACCATACACAAAGTGAAGCATACATCAATGGTAAAAATGACTTATGTACTAGATCAAGGCTCCAAAGTAGAGGTCATTCAAGATGATCTGAAAACATATAAGAACTTTTATTTATCTATCAACTACCCTAATTTATATTATAACTATATATATATATATATATATATATATATATTTTTTTTTTTTGTGGTACACGGGCCTCTCACTGTTGTGGCCTCTCCCGTTGCGGAGCACAGGCTCCGGACGCGCAGGTTCAGCAGCCATGGCTCACAGGCCCAGCCGCTCCGCGGCATGTGGATCCTCCCGGACTGGGGCACGAACCCGTGTCCCCTGCATTGGCAGGCGGACTCTCAACCACTGTGCCACCAGGGAAGCCCATAACTGTATTTTTGAATGTAAAAAATGTATTGGTAGAAAATTTTAAGTATATAATTTATAAATAAGTATATATATATATATATATATATATATATATATATGACTCATGCTCAAAAAATTTTATAGCTAAAAGTACATGATTAAAAATGCTGGAAATCTGGAAATCAATGATTCCCAAATTATCTTTGGTGATAGATCCTTTTATAAATTATTTCCAAAAGGGTTTAGACTGATACATTTGTAAGAATACCTTATAAGTTTTGTGGAAGTATAAAATTGCTATAGGGCTTCCCTGGTGGCACAGTGGTTAAGAATCTGCCTGCCAGTGCAGGGGACACGTGTTCAGGCCCTGGGCTGGGAAGATCCCACATGCTGTGGAGCAACTGGGCCCGTGCGCCACAACTGCTGAGCTTGCGCTCTAGAGCCTGCGGGCCACAACTACTGAAGCCCGTGTGCCTAGAGCCCATGCTCTGCAACAAGGGAGGCCACCACAATGAGAAGCCTGTGCACCACAATGAGGAGTGGCCCCCACTTGCCGCAACTAGAGAAAGCCCACGAGCAGCAACGAAGACCCAACACAGCCTAAATAAATAAATAGATCTATTTTAAAAAATTGCTATAAAAGTTTCTAAAAGTTTATTTTCATTTTTTGACTTTCTTCATGTTGGCATGGATCTATGTAATTCACACTGAATAGCACTATCTATATCACCTGCTTTCTCAGTCCTCAGCAATTACTCCTTGGTTAACAATAAAGAATGCTTTGCATATGTTCACAAATATGTTCATAAAAGAAATATATCAAGAAAGCAAAGAATTTAAAGTTTTCAATTGATGAAAGGTGAATTTGCTATGACCCCAAAATTAAAAATTCTGGTAATGGTGGATAACCTATGGTAGACTAGCATTTCCAACCAAATTGCCCACTAAGAAAAACTTTTAAAAACTGTAAAAATTATTTTTAAATATAAGGCAGATAAAAATAGTGAAGGACCACTGTGTTAAGATTCTTAAGAAGAGAGAGATTTAACAAAAATTGGGACTGATTTTTTTTCCTGGGTATGTTGGCTAATTCTATAAGAGGCACTGGGAGGGTAAACTGTCTTTTGCTAGTCTCTAGGAAGTAGGGAAACAAAAGTTGCAGTTTAGGGAGTAGAGCTTATAAACTTTCCCTGTCCTACATTTTAAGTTGGCACCTACGAGGCTATACTCTAAAAGCAAGGATGAGTTAGAAGTAGACTGGCTCACAGCGTAAGTGCAGTTTAGCACTTACTCAGTCCCTGAAATTAGATAAAGGGCATCCCAGACTGTAGTGTTCCCATGTACGACAGAGGTGGGAAAGTTATTAAAAGACACACAGAGTGATTCTGAAAAAAAATTCTAGAACTAGAATTTGTCACAATAAAAATGAAATGGATCCACAGCAGATTACTTAGAACTGAACTGAGTATTACTAAACTGGAAAATATATTATTAAATCAGTAAATATTTATCAACAAGCACAGAAAAAATACAGGATAGAAAATACAGAAAAGACAGTAAAGGAGAAAGAATACATTAAAAAAAAACAAAACCCACAAAGGCCTACCATACATGTAATTGGAGTAACTGGAGTCCCAAGAGAGGAGACAATAGGGCAGAAGTTATATTAATAATCATAGGAAATATTCCAAAACCAATGAAAAGTATCAAGCAATATATTCATGAAGTCATATAAGTTCAAAACAGATGAAATAAATGTAATCTTTCACCTATACACTCATAGTAAATAAAACAAATGAAAATCAAATACCAGAAAAGAATCTTAAAAATGGTAAACATACATAAGAAACAGTGGAAGTGAATACAGTAGAATAGCACTTTTAAAGTACTGAAAGAAAATTAATGGCCAACTAATTATCTATTCCCAGTGAAAACTAGATGAAAAACTAAGAGAATTCATCACATGCAGACTGTTGCAATAAATTAACTCAAGACTGTTCTTCATTAACTCAAGGAAAATGATCCCAGACTGAAACTCAGAGTAGCAAAGTAAAGAAGAGCAATAAAAAAAGGTGAACATGTTTATAAAAGTGGATCAATATTTTTAAATAAAACAATAATACTTATTTCAGGAATTTAAATATAGAAGGGATTACAGTACACAGAAATAATTGAATCAATGTTGGGAAAGGAATAAATTTAAAGGGTTTTAAGACTTATGTGATGATTAGGAATGTGGTAAAAGTATCAATTAACATTAGAATTTCATAAAATCAAGTTTGCATATAAGGTAATTAGCAGATGAACAGTAAAAGAGCATATACCTAGGAAGTTAATGGAGGGGAGAAATGAAATAATAAATATTAAATTATCAAAAAGAAAGAAAAAAAGGGCAAGAAATAAGAGTGTAGAGCAGATAGGAAGCACATATTAAGATGAAAAATTTAAACACAAAATAACATTAAATGAATTTAAAAGTTCAATTAAAGGACAAAAATTGTAAACCCCAAAAAAGCATTTAAAGAGGAAAAGGTTGTGAGGCTAGAGATGCTGTGTAACCACTTTTTTCCTTCATTCTAATAGGTAGCAAATTTTGACTGTTTTCATTTTGCCCATTTTTGCCTTGTTACATAAAATTGTTTCACATAGAGGAAGGCATGCTACCAGTAATACATACTATTTTAAAAGAAATAAAGAAGGGAGGAAGATTTTGGAAATGGGGAAATGTATACAAATATAAAAAGCATATGAAAGGATTTCAATCAACAAAACCTAATTACCCAATGAAAAGTATCAGTTAACTGAAATTGAAAAAAACTAAAATGAGTTTCCCAGTTTTGTTACTTTTTGTTTTTTTCCTTTACTCTCAAAAATTACCATTCAATGAATTCCTACAGTAGAAGAAAAAGATAAGGTAGCAGGCCTTGTGGCTGCTATCTTTAGAAAGACCTGCTTGCAACTTTGGCTTTTGTCTGGCACCTGGGATCTTAAATGTCCAGAGGGATGCCACAGTTCCCTAACTAATAAAGGTGGCTCATTGTGCTCAAACTGTTCGTATAAACAATGCGGTTTTGTTGAACACTTGTATTCCTTCTGAGAGTCTAGAAATTTTCTATGTGCAAGGCAGAGGGTTCCTACATGATCAACTACCAATAAAATCCTTGGGCGTTGAATCTCTAATGAACTTAGCTGGTAGAAAACATTTCATACATGTTGTCACAACTCCTGGCTGGAGGAATTAATTTCAATCTGTAGGGGGCTCCATGAGGAGGGAGTGGATTCTTGTAAGCTTGCAGCTGGTTGTCTCTACTTCACCTCATGTACCTTTTCCCTCTGCTGATTTTGCTTTGTATCTTTCTGCTGTGATAAATCATAGCCCTGAGAACTGTCAAGTCCTAGAGAACTTCAAATCTGGGATGGCCTTCACCCCACCTTCGCATGCTTAAATAATTTTTGAATAACTTCGTATTTTGTGTGTTACTAAAATATAAAGATTGAAGTTGTTTTATGAGAAGTACTGATTAGAAGAGGACCTCAGAAAGAAAATCTGTGAACTGGAAGAGCGAAAAGCATCACTAGTAGCTAATTGAAATAAAAGCACGGAGAAGTTGTACAGATCGGCCAGAATGTGTAATGAGAGCATCAGATCTTGTGGAGAGACCAAAGCAAAGCAAGTAGAGAGAACAGGTAGAAGTGTAGTGCTTTCCATATTAAAGATGAGCCTAAGAGATTAGTACCCTCTATCAGGGCTGCATTGAACACACTTGGCTTCCAGTGACTACGGCAATAGGTCTTTGTTATAGACTAAGAGTTTGTGTCACCCCAAAATTCATATGTTGAAACCTAATTCCCAATGCAATTGTATTTGGAGGTGGGGCCTTTGGGAAGTGATTAGGTCATAAGAGTGGAGCCCTCAAAAAGGGACTAGTGTGCCCTTAAAAGAAGGCCCCAGAGAGCTCCCTTGTCCCTTCTGCCATGGCTAAAAGTCAGCTGTCTATGAACCAAGAAATGGGCCCTTACCAGATACTAAATCTATGGGCACCCTGATCTTGTATTTCTCAGCCTCCAGGATTGTGACAAATAAATTTCTCTTGCTTGGAAGCCAAATAGTCTATGGTATTCTGTTATAGTAGTCCAAATGGACTAAGTCCCCTACATTAGAATAATAGACTGATAAAGTGAAAATTCATGTGCAAATAAATTACACATTAATTTGGATGTAGGGCCATGCATGGTCTAGTTAACTCTACCTTCCAGGAACTTCAGGGATGGAATTTAAGAGAAACTTGTACTGCTAAGTATTAGTTCACAAAGGAAAAAATTGAGTCATACATAAAAGGCATTAATCTGAAATAGAGAACTCCACAGGAGTTTCTGAGTACCATTGTGTGGTTTCTTTTGTTGACTCTAGTCAAGTCCACGTAGGATGAAGTAAGTCAGTAGAACAGCAGAGCTCTATCCCCACACCTGTGTAAATTAGCCTGGGGTACATTCCAGCAATCTAGACAGCCTACTGCTTGGATGGCACTTCCAGGAAGGCTGGCATGCCCCCCACAGGAAACAGAGCAGGATGTCAATAAAAATCATAACCACATTCAACTAAAGGACATGATACATCAGCATATAAACAAAAAAAGTAATATTGCATTTACCAAATGTAAATACCTATGAAATCATAACTTCTTAATAAGTGTATGTTATGTTTTACTTATAAATTAAACAAGCAATAAGATAAAATGACACCGAGACATTAACATTACAGAGCAAACTTACCTATATAGAGAGAAGATTTGTGGGTGGGCACAGAATCATCAATAAAGGCTGTTCCTAGGGTATAAAGAGGAGTTCCTCCTGTTCCCAGCAATAGTTGTCCCAAAATAAAGACATACAAGTAGTAGAAAAGTGAAGAACTTGAAGCAGTACAGGTGGTTTTATTCTTTGCTGTTAAGCATGTATCTTTAGGGGAAAAAAAATTGTGAATTTATCAAAATTTTAGCTAATAATTTAAACATCTTACAAATTATACTTGCCTAACATAACCTTCCTTATTTCTTCCAATCACTTCACTTTGATTATACTTAAAATATTTAAAAATACATACATTATTAAAAAAAATTTATGAAACATTACATCAAAATTTAGAAAATACAGAACAAAACTGAGAAACATTACTTAAGAACCAAAATTAACAAATTGTGTAAACACAAGTGAATTAAGTGGTGCCAGGGAAGGACAGTTTTCAAATTGAAGGGAAAAAAAACACTACACTTGATATTTTTACAAGTCATAAATACAGTATGACCACCGTATTGATTTTTTCTTTAAAAAGATTTTTTTTTTGTTACCACTATATTGATTTTATCAATCAGCATCTTAAACACATTTGAAAAGTGTACTTAGACTATAGGATATTTTGGCCAAAACAGTAATTCTCAATATTCACTACATGAGACTCCCATGGTGGCACAGTGGTTAAGAATCTGCCTGCCAATGCAGGGGACACAGGTTCGAGCCCTGATCTGGGAAGATCCCACATGCCGCTGAGCAACAAAGCCCGTGCACCACAACTACTGAGCCTGCACTCTAGAGCCCGTGAGCCACAATTACTGAGCCCACGTGCCATAACTACTGAAGCCCGTGAGCCTAGAGCCCATGATCTGCAACAAGAGAAGCCACTGCAATGAGAAGCCTGTGCACCGCAACCAAGAATAGCCAACGCTCGCTGCAACTAGAGAAAGCCCGCGCACAGCAACAAAGACCCAACGCAGACAAAAATTAATTAATTTTTTAAAATATTCACTACAAAGCAGTAATATTTAGAAGTTATGTCCTTCTTTTTTACAGGTCAAACTATTTTATTACATTTATATTTTGAAGCAATCTTTGGGTCCATAGGATGTTTTTTTGAATATTTTAAAAGGAAAAATTGTTATCTATTTTTTTCTTTTTTTCCTTTTATTGAAGTAGATTTACAATGTTGTGTTAGTTTCTGGTGTTTAGCAAAGTGACTCAGTTATACACATATATATATATATTCTTTTTCATATTCTTTTCCATTATGGTTTATTACAGGATATTGAATGTATTTAGCTCCCTGTGCTATACAGTAGGACCTTTTTGTTTATCTATTTTTATATAGATTGTATCTGCTAATCCCAAACTCTTAATTTATCTCTCCCCCACCCGCTTTCCCTAAGGGGGGTAACCCTAGGTTTGTTTTCTATGTCTGTGAGTCTGTTTCTGTTTTATAAATAAGTTCATTTGTATTGTATTTTAGATTCCACATATAAATGATATCATACGGTACTCATCTTTCTCTCTCTGGCTTACTGCACTTACTATGGTAATCTCTAGGTCCATCCATGTTACTGCAAATGGCAGTATTTCATTATTTTTTATGGCTGAGTAGTATTCCATTTTATGTATTGAGTCTTCTTTATCCATTCATCCATCAATGTACATTTATGTTGCTTCCACGTCTTGGCTATTGTAAATGGTGCTGCTATTAACACTGGGGTACATGTATCTTTTCAAATTAGAGTTTTCTCTGAATATATGCCCATGAATGGGACTGCTAGATCATGTGGCAACTCTGTTTTTAGTTTTTTAAGGAAACTTCATACTGTTTCCACAGTGGCTGCACCAATTTACATTCCCACCAACAGTGTAAGAGGGTTCCCTTTTCACCACACCCTCTCCAGCACTTGATATTTGTAGATTTTTTAATGATGGCCATTTTAACCAGTGTGAGGTGATACCTCATTGTAGTTTTGATTTGTATTTCTCTAATAATTAGTGATATTGAGCATCTTTTCATAAACCTATTGGCCATGTGTATGTCTTCTTTGGAGAAATGCGTATTTAGGTCTTCTGCCCATTTTCTGATTGGGTTGTTTTTTTTGTTATTGAGTTGTATGAGCTGTTCATATATTTTGGAAATTAAGCCCTTGTTGGTCACATCATTTGCAAATATTTTCTCCCAGTCTGTAGGTTGTCTTTTCGTCTTGTTTACGGTTTCCTTTGCTGTGCAAAAGCTTATACGTTTGATTAGGTCCCATTTGTTTATTTCTGCTTTTATTTCTGTTGCCTTGGGAGACTGACCTAAGAAAACATTGCAACAATTTATGTTAGGGAATGTTTTGTCTATGTTCTCTTCTAGGAGTTTTATGGTGTCATGTTTCGTAATTAAGTCTTTAAGCCATTCTGAGTTTATTTTTGTGTATGGTGTGAGGGAGTGTTCTAACTTCATTTATTTATATGTGGCTGTCCAGCTTTCCCAACACCACTTGCCAAAGAGACTGTCTTTTTCCCATTGTATATTCTTGCCTCCTTTGTCAAAGATTAATTGACTTTAGGTGTGTGGGTTTTTTCCTGGGGTCTCCTTTCTGTTCCACTGATCCATGTCTGTTTTTGTGACAATACAACACTGTTTTCATTACTGTAGCTTTGTAGTATTGTCTGAAGTCTGCGAGGGTTATGCCTCCAGCTTTGTTCTTTTTCCTCAGAATTGCTTTGACAATTCTGGGTCTTTCATGGTTCTGTATAAATTTTAGTATTATTTGTTCTAGTTCTGTGAAAAATGTCATGGGTAATTTGATAGGGATTGCATTAAATCTATAGACTGCTTTGTGTAATATGGCCACTTTAACAATATTAATTCTTCCAGTCCAAGAGCATGGGATATCTTTCCATTTCTTTAAATTATCTTCAGTTTTCTTTACCAATGTTTCATAGTTCTCAGCATATAAGTCTTTCACCTCCTTTGTTAGGTTTATTCCTAAGTATTATATATTTTTAATGCAATTTTAAAAGGGATTGTCTTTTTACTTTCCCTTTCTGATATTTTATTGTTAGTGTAAAGAAATGCAACAGATTTCTGTATGTTAAACTTGTATCCTGCTACCTTGCTGAATTCTTTTACCAGTTCTAGTGGTTTTTGTGTGGAGTCTTTAGGGTTTTCTATATATCATATCATGTCATCTGCATATAATGATAATTTTACCTCTTCCTTTCCAATTTAGATACCTGAGAAATAGTTATCTTTAGGATTTGATTAAAATCTTTTTAAAAAATCACATTCAGTGGCTTCCCTGGTGGCGCAGTGGTTGAGAGTCCACCTGCCAATGCAGGGGACACAGGTTTGTGCCCCGGTCCGCGAAGATCCCACATGCCGCGGAGCGGCTAGGCCTGTGAGCCATGGCTGCTGAGCCTGCGCGTCCGGAGCCTGTGCTCCACAACAGGAGAGGGCACAACAGTGAGAGGCCCGTGTACCGCAAAAAAAAAAAAAAATCACATTCAAAGCCTGGGTATTAAAGTAAATCCATATTTCCTAAACTCATCATATAATATTAATGAACTAAGAGATTTGTTAAAAATATATTTCCAACCCTTTCCCTTTGAATCTGGTGTAGTATCCAGGAATTTTCATTTTAACAATGGCCTCAGCTAATTCTATTTTCATTTCCTTGATATCAGATCAAGATTTATTATTTCCTGATTGATGAGACATAGGCCCCTAAAGCACCAATCCTGAATATTCTTTAACTGGTTCACTGTCATCAAATTTTCAGATGCAAATTCTATGCATAAAAATATATATTTTAAATTTTGTATTTAAAATATACTCTATAATACTGTATATATTCATGTTATAAGAGGTTGATGGATATTTTGGCAGATAATTTATTTATATTTATAACTGGGCTAGGTCTGCATTATCTGTGATATTTCCCTGGTCATGTCAAACATTTGAATTATAATTCTTGGTTTCAATATTCACTTTCCTGGAGGTAGTAGATTAGACTAACAATCTCTTATTATTTGCTTTGTTATTTGCAAATTGTTCATTTTGCAAAACTGAACATACGTACATGCATTATTGGTTTACTATTTTCTCCTATTTCCTTTTTATAATAGGTAAATTGCCTTTAGGAAAATATCTTTCTGTAGTAATCTGGTAGACTTTTTGATTGTAAGAGTATTCTGTGGGGTTTTGGTGTTTTTTTGTTTCTCCCAGAGGAAGTAATCAATGGGTTTCAACCTACTTGTTTAAATAAATTTTAAATAAAACAGAAGAATACCAAGAAAAAATCCAAGCTCTCCCTTACCTCTGCCTGCCTCTATTTATGCTCTCCCATGTCACTTAGATGAAGGCAATAACCCCTGTTAACAGTTCCTTCGAGCATTTTTCAGACATTTTCTCACACATTCACATGTTTTATATCCATTTACATTTTTACATATGTATGATCATACGAAACATACTATCCTTATTTTCAACAACTTCCAGTTTTCACTTTTTATGTCCTAGAAATCCTTGATGTTGGAACTTAAAGCTGTATTTAAATTTCTTTGTTGGCACTGTTATAATATTCCACAGCATAAATGTGATTTATTTACCAAGTCCACAACTTCTATTTTTTTTTTTAAGTTTGCTTGTATGCTTTCTTTTTAACATCTTTATTGGAGTATAATTGTTTTACAGTGTTGTGTTAGTTTCTGCTGTATAACAAAGTGAATCAGCTATATGCATACATATATCCCCATATCCCCTCCCTCTTGCATCTCCCTCCCAACTTCTATTTAATAATAATATAACATATATTATTAATATTATATTATACATACATTCAGGTCAAAACAATGTTGTGATGAATATTTTTAAAATTTATCTTGGCATATTTGTGCAAGCCTATCGTATGACAGGTTCCAAAAAGTGGAACTGCCGGGTCAACGTGTATAAATATTTATATTTGATTTGCCAAGTTGCCATAACAAAGAGTTATAAATATATGCATTCCCATTAGCAATGCAGCAACACTTTTGAAAAAATCTTCAGTGAACTTAAGCATTTTTCTGTATGTTTATTGGCCACCTGCATGTTTTTCTGTGAACTAACTTCTCAAATTTACTTCAGAGCTTCTGAGTTTGATATCTGACTTATAAAAGTCTTCCCT